TTCATGTTACTTCCTTGCCCTCTACTTTGTGGGTGGAATGCCACGGGATGTTTCATACTTGCTTGCGCGTAATCCATGCCAAAACATTATGTGCTGGGATGGCACCGCGCCATGCGCCAAGGTTCCTTTTTTGCAGCTGTGAGTGCAACATCCAGCGTTCATCGCCAAACGGTATCTCGTGTTTGCTGTTGGTAACAACGGTGCAGTTGAAAACAAACTGTCATCACGTTGAAACACCTCACATCCTTTGTAGTCGGGCTGGATGCACGTTGTGGTGTCTCGCTAGAGACAGAGACGAGCACACACGCACACGCGCACGCACGCACGCACGCACGCACGCACGCACGCACGCACGCACGCACGCACGCACGCAGATTATATATATATATATATATATATATATATATATATATATATATATAAATTGATGTATCGAGGCAAAGACACTTGTTGGCTCGGCAGACATACGTGAACAGACCTGCTGTCACGTATGCTGACCTGACTACACGACCACGACTGCGTGAATAAACCACGGCTCTTGCATCAGTCGCGCGTCCCTGAACTACCATCCGTCTCATGCCCGGTCATAGACAACACCCATATTCTCCGTACTGGCACTGCAGCAGTCCTCCAGACGCATGCCCTGTCACGCTTCTGTTGTGTGATGCCCGAGGTTCGCCGTTACACGGTTACGTACCCGCCGGTGTATGACTTGGTTTAGCCAATTGGTGAGAAAGGAATCGCCCAGGCTTCACCGGCAAGCGTTCTGCGGTGATGAGCGTGAAAGCTCGCATTGAACACATGCTTGCTTTACCAGCATACATTGGTCACATTCTGCAACTGCGGCTACTGCATACATACGCTACATTGTACTCACACGAATGGTGTTGGTTGCATGGCCTGTGCGCACCTATCGCCGCAGCAATGAAGGTGCTTTATGTCTTTGCATTGGCTGGAGCGTCTATTTCGCCACAGTTCCGCGGACTAAACGGGCTTTGCTGCCGTCTTCTCGAACCAGCTCGTTCACGAACCGCGTCACTGCATTGAGCTGGTCCTCTTCCCCTTCCTATCCTTCCTGCATTTCCGTCGTGTGTGTCCGCCCGACGTCACTCGCCGACGTCCCCTGGCGCGCCGTTCACTTGAAGTCCATGATGGCGTCGACCAGGTCCTGGAAGGCGTCCGTCTCGTCCTGGCTGGGCACGTACATCTCCATGGTGCCGTCCTTGTACAGCCGCAGGCCGGGCATGGCGCGGTTGATCAGGTCGCAGATGGCCTCGCGCAGCTGGGACGGGTTGCACCAGGCGCACGGGCAGAACTGGCACACGTTACAGGCGCCTGGCGGCAGGCGCAGGCGCAGGCGTCAGACGGGCGCTGGCGGCAGGCGTCAGCAGGCGGGCGCTGGCGGCTGACGCACCCTCTTGGGGGCTGGGTCTGGATCACTATCGGGTCACAGGTCAGCGGAATGAGAATGTGGATCATCGTCGCGGGACAGCTCAGCAGACTCTTGGGGTCCGCCAACGTTTTCCTGTCGATCGCTTTCATGCTTGCATTTCAGCTTGTTTTTGCTATCCTGTTGAAATCCTGTTCTCTTAGCACGTTCCCGTCATTTGCCGTAATCCCTTTTCCGTGATATGCAAGGCCGTTCATGACTATCTGTTTGACCCTGCTCGTTCGATCTGATCATGCGAGATTCAAGGGAAACAAACGTATTGAACCCAAGTAGCATCGGGACGCTCAGCAGTATCTACGATTCAGCTGCAACGTTTACGCATCCTCATACATGCTCTTCCCGGCGCAACGTCTGCTAGCTTGTATCTCATCCCATCTGAGCAGGCTGAACCTTACCCTCACCGTCGCCACCCAACACTTCCCCCGGGCCCCAGCGTCGCCTGCCTCACTCACCGCACAGCAGCCAGGCAATCGTCATGATGACCGCCACGGTGAAGATGGGGCCGAACACGGCCTTCAGCGACAGCTTCACGGACGCCCAGTCGCCCTCGCCGAACAGCAGCTTGACGGTGGCGCAGCCGGCGCGGCGCACCTGGCGCGCGTAGCTGTCGCTTGCGCTAACGTTGCTGATGCAGTGCGGCTTCAGCTGGGTCCAGTGGCTCCAGAAGATCTTGGCCACGCGCTGGCCGGCCTCGGTGCGGTTGGGCGGGTACTCGGCGAACCGGCGGGCGGCGATCGGCCGCGGTTAGTCGCCGGGGTCGAGGCACATATTACACGTCTATATGTGTAGCGCTCTGGATGCAGGGGCGCCTGGTGAACCAGGTGGTGCGCGCCCCTGTGGAATGTTAGGGGATGTTTTGTGGTAGTAATGTTACCCAAGGTGCTGATGTTATTCAGGGTGAAAATGGTAGTTTGAAGGTGTGCGTAATGGGTGGCAGTGAGTAATTATGTTGTGAAAACACGTCGCCGTTGTCTGTCCCGGTTCACTCGGCCTCGGTCGATACCGAAGAATGGCTGGGCCTCATAGAACAAGCCGCAGCTCATAACAAGTTGCCCTTGCGCCCGCTCACCTCTGCAGCATGACGGTCTGGTTAGGGTTGCCGGTGGTGGGCGGGCTGGTGGGTGCCGCGCTCTCCATGGCCGCCTGCCGCGGGGTCGTACGCTCGGTGGTGGTGGGCGGCGCATGGAAGTACTCATACTCCCACTGCTCGTAGTCGTACACGTAGTCGTCGCGCGCCGGCGCCGCCACCATGCTAGTGGTGCCTCGCAGCTGGACCGGCCGGGGCCGCCAGCGGAAGGTGCGCCGGCTGGGGGGCGCGGCGCTGGTGGGCGGCGCGTCTGTCGGCAGCACGCGCCGCCGCAGCTTGTCGAGCTGCGCCAGCGCGTCGGCCGACGCCTGCTCCAGGTCCAGACTGCTCGTGAGGTTCACCAGCGCGCCCAGGCCCAGCCGGCCCAGCACTGAACGGCCGCGACGACCTGGACCGCGCCGAGCCCGGTGACCCCGGCGGCGGCGGTGGTAGCGTCGCGGCGCGCCGTCTGGCGGCGAGAGGCGGCGCTTCCCGAGCCAGCGTGGCGCCTTGGAGCGTGCGCGGAAGACGTAGGACCGCTTGACCCGTGCGGAGACCGGGGTGGCTGGAGGCGGAGTGCCTGGAGCGTTCATGGGCGTGTTGAGTGAAGGCGACCCAGTCCCCTCGCGTGCTGTTCTCATAGGTGTGATGCTGTCGTTCCAAGCGTGTGGCCTTGCCGCGCTAAAAAAGACCATGTGTGACTGGGTGGTGGATCATTTAAGTGTACTGATGTGAGTTGTGTTCTGTTCTAAAACACGAGGCACTTCACACTCAAACGCAGACATATTGTAATCATTTAGAGTATCTGCTGTGAAACATTTGCAGGCATGTGGACAACATCGAAATCAGCAATGGTAGCATGACAATTATAACCATTTAGAAACCTGAGCTTTATGATGAGACAACCATGATTAAGTACAGTATCGCACGCGTGGTGCTATCTCACCTTGGTGAAAATAGACCCAGATACTGGGAATCACGTGTGCCATTGGGATGCGCAAAAAACAGCTGAACAAACGTCTGATACACTGAAAGCCAATCGAATGGAGCCTGAAACCTGGTGCCGGGCATGCCCTCTTGATTGTCGTCCACAATCTGCCGCCACAGACGCCCCCAGGTCCACGAGTCCTCATCACCGCCGTCGCCGTCGAAGTCGTCGAATTCGGACGCGGCCTCCGCCAGCCACTCGCCGATCGCTGTCCAGTTGACGCCGACGTTGCCCAGGGTGCCGGCCACCCTGCCGCCGCCCTCGCTCTCATCCGTGGTAAACTGTCGCACGAGCCGACCGACGGCCGCCGCCACGTCCTCGCCCTCTCCCTCCGCGCCGGAGATGAGCCAGGCGCGGACGCCGGCCAGGTCCAGGCCGCGCTTCTCGCGTCGCGGCGTGCTGGCTTCGTCGTGCGTGTCCAGAAACTGCTCGATCAGGCTCCAGAGGACGGTGGCGGCGCGCCGCTCCTCGCCCCCGGCAGCCGCCGCCGGCTTGTCTCCGCCGGCCGTTACGCGCGCCCACAGCGTTTCGAAGGCGTGCCGTGCGACTTGCCTGGCCTCGCGCGACTCGTTGGTGGGCGCTCGCGTCAGCCGTTCCCGCAGCTCGTCGCCACCATCCAGCAGCGCGCCGAAGAAGTGGGTGAGCTTACCGACGGCCGCGGCGTCGGCAGCGTCCAGCGGCGGGTCGGGTGTCAGCAGGGTCCACGCTGGGTCCGGGCCCGGCGCCGGCGTCAGGTCGGCGCCCGGCGGCGCTTGCGGCGCGGCGGCCGGAGACGGCGTCGGCGTCAGCACCGCTCCGCCGGCTCCGCGTGACACGGCGAGCGCCGGCGCCGGCGTCGGCCCGGCCGTGCCCTCCCCACTCATGCCGTGCGGGGCCGTCTCGGAGGCGTTGACGGCCGACGCTGGCTCGGCGCCCGCGCCGAGCGGCGCCGGCCTCACCAGTCCGACCAGGAGCCGCACCAGGCCGCGGTAGGAACGCAGAAGTCCCGACACGGCGCCGCGGAACTGGCGACTCTGCGCGCGGCGCAGCCGGCGGCCGGCTGACCAGCCGCGCTGCCGGATGCGCCGCAGCCGGTGCCGGTAGCGGCGCTGCTCGGCGGCGCCAAACATCTCTGGCGGCCGCAGACGGTAGCTGCGCCGCTGGCGCGACACGTAGTGCGCCAGCGTGGCGCCCGAGGCCGCGTCGAACTCGAGCCGCGCGCCCAGCCGCGGCGGCTCTAGGAGACGCTCCTCCAACTCCAGGCTGTCGCCGGACGCCGCCGCGAGGGTGCAGAGCAGGGCTAGTAGCCGCGCTGAGCGGTGAAGTCTCATTCGTGGGACTCTGGGGAGATCTGGGATGGAGTCGACTCTCTGCGCAGTTTCAGTTGGCTGGCTGGCTGGCTGAGTTCGGGTGACTTCTGTTCAGCGGTTTGGTGCTCGGCGCTGTTTCCACTCTTGCAGTTTCTAAATTCGGTTCTTCCTTCCTTTTTTACCGTCCCGGGATAGTTGTGTTGGCAGATGTCCCGCTTGGTACCTTACACTTTCAGCAGCGCTCCACCCGAGCAATGCTGCAATGTGCTGCAATCAGCAAGGTTTGGCGCCACTGCTCGTCGTCAGGCATGACAAAATGCGTTATCCTGCGAGGTGTCTCGTGCTGTGGTAGCGGCGGCACCTCTGACCGGGACTTCTTCCTCAGACCTACCCGGACTGCGAGAGCCCGGTGTTCCTGCGGTTGCGGAGCGAGGTGGAGCTGACGACCGAGCTGCAGGGCGTGCGGCTAGCGCTGGAGCACGCGCCCGTCGAGCCCTGTCCGCTCGCGTCGGCCGTGGCCGACTCGGCACCCATCATCACGAGTTGGAAGCTCGCCTCCTCGGAGTCGGCTTGCGCCGAGCGGCGTCAGCCGCCAGGCGGAGCAGAGGCGACGCCAGGGCAGCTGGACGGGGGTGCGAAGGCGGTGCAAAGGTTGGCGGGGAGTTGTGCGGGGGCGGTGCGAGAGACGGCTGACTGCGGCGGAGAAGCGACGCAAGAGCCGGTGGACGGTGGTGCGGGGGCGGTGACGGATCCGGATGCAGGTGGAACAGAGGCGATGCGAGAGTCGGTTTGTGACGACCCGGAGGCATTGCCAGAGTTGACGGGCGGCGGCGAAGGCACGGGTCATCGTCCGGTGGGCGATGGCGCAGAGCCGGTGCCAGGGCCGGTGGGTGGTGGAGCTGGACCGACGACGCCGACCCCGGACGGTGACGTCGGTGAGCTCCGGCCGGACGCCAGCTCTCCGCCGGAGCAGGACAGTGAGCTACGGCGGGTAAGTGACGCCCCGCTGCCGTGCTTATGACGGACGCCGGGAAGGGCGGATATAGTGATCGCCTCGCGCGACTCTTCAGTTAATGTTTCCAACGCAGCTTGCCTTGTTTTAGTTAATCAAGACCGTGCCCCCTTCCGTACCTTGCGTGCATCGGCCGTTTTTTGGCCTACCTGCACTCCCCGAGCGATGGCTACTTAACGGGGCAGCATTGTCCAGAAATGTTTTGACTGCACGTCGGCCGTCCAAGATCGTGTCCATTCTTAACATAATATCACTGTCGCCTGATTCCCGTGTCTATCTCTGGCAGAAGTCCGCTCACCTCCATGCCTGCCGTTTCCGTGCCTGGCAGAGAGCCGGTCTTCGCCATGCTTGCCCTGCGCGTGTCTGGCATGGAGCCGTTCCACCATGCCTGCCGTTACCGTGTCTGACAGAGTCGTTCTTCACCATGCCTGCCGTGTGCGTGTCTGGCAGAGAGCCGTTCGTCATGTCTGCCGTGTCCGTGTCTTGCAGACCATTGGCCGGCTGGCGCTGCGGGCGCTCAGCTCCGACTCGACCCTGTACCAGGTCATCAGTCTGGTGGAGACGCACGGTGTCACTCTGCCCACGGGTGCCGCCCACCCCGGTCAGTGGCCTCCGCTCGCCGGTGCAGACACGCGGTCCCAAGCGGCGCATACCCGCCTGCTTCTGTCCGCGCTGGCTGGCCGCAGCCACGCTCGGGCGTGTTGTGCTCTCGGCGGCGCAGCGGCAGCCTGACTGGTGTGCTATGGGAAGCAGGTCGGCTGGGCACAGAGCCTTTGATGAAGGAGGACGGGTGTGTTGGGTGCACGGACCTCACCGACCTGAGGTGTGTGTGCTGGGTATTCCCACACCGAATGTTTTCATCGGGGTCATGTGTTTGCAGAGTCGGTGAACGCTGGCTACGCGGCCTTCTATGACTTGGCGCTGACCTCGCCTTGCCGTGATTTGTTTATGAGGGCTGCCACATCGCTACAAGAGGACGTCTCTCTGAAGTCCACCATGTGAGCAGGCGGAAACGGAAGCGGAAGTCCGGTTGTGCTGCACCGTGTTCTGTGATGATGCTCTGATATTGGGAGGCAGTTCATGTTGTCTTGTGTGCAGTATTTGCCAACTGACACTGTGCGCGCCAGTGAACTGCGTCAAACTTGTTCTATGGCAGGCTCCCGTGACCTGTGCCGTTGTAGGAGTGTCCCGTCAACATGGTTGCCCTTGGGCTGGCTGAGCGTCATTCAAACAGCGGCGCCAGTCAGGGCCAAGGTCACCTTGAGTTGCTTTGTGAGAACTGCATGGACTGATCATTCCACGCCGTTCCGTTCCCCTCTCCTTCCCTCCCCCTCCTATTGTCTGCCTATCCTTGGTCCAACCCACTGACTGCACGATTGTCCTCCGGCCGTCTCCAGCGCCTCCCCGGTACCTGTGACCGCTCCCCGCCGCTCCTCCGCCTGGCTGTGACATCCCCGGTCCGGTCGGCAGGCCGGCCGGGCTGGAGACGCTAGCCGGGGTCGTGCGCCACTGGCTGTCGGTGCCGTCTGAGGCGGCGTTGCTGGCGCCTGACCTGGCGCCCGGCGGCGGAGCGCCGGCCGTGCTGCTCAGCGCCGCGCCTCTCTCGCTGGCGCAGGCGTACTGCGCGGCGCGCCGCTGGCGCCGCCTGACGCAGCTGGCGCCGCGGCACCGCGACCGCGCCGCCTTCGGCAAGCTGGCGGCGCTGGCGCACAAGCTGGGTATGCAGCAGCTGGGGCTGGGTCCGGGAGGTGGGGCGGCGAGGGAGGGAAGAGATCGGGTCTGTCAGGAGAGCAGCGGATGGCGTGTTACGGTCTCTGCCTGAATCTGAGACGCAAAGTGTGGCGTCAGTGAGCTTGACTAAGTGCGATGGCCGAGCCCCGCGTAGCAACAATGATGAGTGCAGCAGTTCTGGGACCTCAAACTTCTGCGTGCTTGTCATACTGACCGCAGCAACGGTACGGGCTCGCAGGTGGGGACTCACATGAGCATCGTCCGGACTTCCTGATGAGCCTGCTGCAGTACCTGACGCAGCTGCAGCAGATTCTGCACGGGGATGAACCGTCCCCTGGTGAGTGCGCGTCTCTCGTGAGCGCGCGATCTAATGCTGCAACAAGCGTGTTTCCTGATAGAACGGAACTAACCTCGTGGGTGCGTTTTTAAGTTTCCGTTACACCAGCGAAAGCACGCTGTTCATTGTGCGCTAGTCGACGCAGGTGGCTTGCTGTGGCCTGAACGTGATGTGCGGTGGAAACCAGGTCGGGTAGTAGTTGGTTTAAACAGCTAACAGTAACAGAAACAACAAGCCGGTTTTCGTTTGTTGAAACAGAATACTAACTACTGATGAAAAACTAGCAAAAGCTGTCAAAGCAATGCTAGGATAGCAAATCATGTCTAAACCCAATGTGTCCGTTAAAAGCAAGAGTTACGAATCGTAGTCCTCGGGCAATGGTCATAGTCAGGGCACTGGTTCAAATATTAAGTTACGTACCATTCATTTCAAGTATACTACATCTTTTCTGCGTGATTTTATGTCATTGCACCGTTTCCCGTCTTTTTTGACTGGATAGAAATAACTTTAACTTTCGCGGACATCATTGATAAAATGATAAATATTTTTGTGTAAGTTTTGAAATCTGCGCTGGTTTTGGCTGGCTTTAAACGGTAAAAAACAACAAGCAAAAAGTGGCAAAAAATCTGGTTTCGGTTAGCTAAAGTACTGATTCGTGATAGTAAGCCATTGAAGCGAAGGAAAGCTCTTACCTGCGGCTGGCGAGACCAGCTCATGGTTCGTCACTCGCGCAACGGGCTTTTACTGAGTGTTTTCTCTATTGCGTTTTATTCCACATGTGATGTTGTCGAGTTTTGCTGACATATCCACTGACCGGCCGTGTACTCCGAGCCCGCTCCGGGCGAGCCTCCTACCCACTGACCGGTCATGTGCGGGCCTCCTACCCACTGACCGGCCGTGTACTCCGAGCCCGCTCCGAGCGGGTCTCCGTCGTTGACCCAGCGGCGCGTGCCCAGACTCGTGGGCGCAGCTGCTGTCGAGCCGGCCGTCAGTGGCGCTGGCGGATCTGGTGCTGCTCTCCGGGAGAGACCCGGCCGGCGTGGCCGCCGCTGCTGCTGCCCTGCGGCTCGACATGGGCCGCCTGCTGCTCGGCCGGCTCTGGCCCCAGCTGGAAGCGCGGCCCTGGCCCCGGCCGCCGCCCGGCTCACTCTGGGTGAGCTCACGGCACCGCTTTGTCTCGTGCCGGCCCGAGACGCCTCGCCTGGCTGGTTCGCTTCTGGGTGCAGCTGGCTGGAAGCACCGGCTTCCGCTGTCGAATCTGGCGCATGCCAGTGTCTGTTTGGTGCCGGTTGTGGCGCCAGTCAGTCAAATGCGCAGCAAGGGAGGATGGGCGCTGCATTAAGTGCGCTTTCCGTTGTTCATGTGCGTTAGAAGCTGGTCACTTGCTGTCGCGGCGCTGCAGGGATATTATACAACGTTATTGTTTTCACGGCGATGGGCGACACAGTAGACATAGTGCATTGCTTATGGAGACGGTTCTGACGGACGTCGCCCTGCCGCAGTCGCTTCTCGAGGAGCCGTCAGCGTCCACCAAGGACCAGCCGTCTGCGGCCGAGCGAGTGAGAGGAGCCGAGGTTGCCGGGCCGGCCGGTGCCCCAGACGGCGTCGGTGCGGCAGGCCTTGGGACGACCCTCGGCTCTCCCGGCGGCGCGCTTCCCGCAGCGGCGCGTCCGACAGCCGCGCCCGAGGCTCGGCCGGACGCTGCCAACGGCGAACCGAGCTCGCCCGCCGGCTGGTCCGCGTCGCCGACGAGAGCGAAGCTGGCGGCCCGGCTGGCTGCGGCGCTCTCGCACCTGGCCGACCGGCTGGAGGACGCGCCGCCGCCGCCCGCGCCGCCCGCGCCGCCGCCGTCGGCCGGCGCGCTAGCGCTGCTGCGCCGCCAGGCCGGCCTGCTGCACGACCTGCACGTGGCACTGGCGGGCGGCGCCGCGTGCGAGCTGCTGCACGCCGCCTCGCCGACCGGACCGGCGGCGGCGCTGGCGGCCGAGCCCGCAGCGCGGCGCAGGCTGGCCGGCCT